CCAAAGCACCAGAGCAAAGAGGTACTTCAATGTTTCAAAGTCGGTTTCAATAAATTTTCAGGTTGTGTTACAAATATTTAAAATTAATTGGATTAAAAATAACATTCTATTAAATACACAATAAGATCTAAAGTCGTTTATTTCAAAAACATTGCAACACAACAAAATATTAATAAAATACCTCTTAAACTGGATATTAAAAATGATGTGTTCTGTAATAAATCGTATGTTACTACTAATAAGAATTAATATTAATAATATCAGGAGTAAGCGTATCACCTTTTAGTTGTGAAGTAGTCGTAATATCAGTTTCACCTATATATTCTATCGCGCTCACGGTTTGTTCGGTATTCGAATCAATGTATACAACGTATGGCTACAATGGTGACTTTAATTTAATACACGGGTAGGGCTAATGACCATTAATCATATTCATTTTGATAAGTTAAAGTTACTCGTAAATTGAAAAATTATTTTTTTCAAACAAACTAAATATTAAAAAAGTAACTAAAATTGGGATCACACTTGCGAAAATTCATTCATGAAAATACTTATCTAGCTGGTTTACGTTAACTCGAAGCGGCAACGAAGCGTTTAGCGGGCTGGCAACTACGCAAAGTGTCTTGTTTGTCAAAGAAACTTATCGGCGTGGCGGCGCGCGTCGTAAGTGGTCCCTACAGCGGAGATGCTTAGTCAAACACGTATCATATCACACTCTCGTGTTACTATTTGTTAACTGTTATCACTAATCACTGCTTTAATTTATCTTTATTTTAAATTTTCTTATTTTCAATAAGACCACCTTGTTGGCAGATACAAAGAACTAAACGGCGTTTCATATTTTCTCGCTTATTTGAAAATAAATTGTCACTTATAGCCATTTCCCTCAATTTCTCAAACGCATTTATTATTCGATGGCGTAATTGTTCCACCGAATCCACGTTCTCCGCGTATACATACTTTTTGATGCACCTCCAGAAAAAAAATCGAGTGGCCTGAAGTCTGGCGATCTTGCTGGCCACCTACGAGGTCCAAATCTACCAATCCAATGTGCACCAAACGTGTCATTTAGCCACTGCCTGGCTGTTGTTACAGAGTGTGCAGGCGTGCCATCTAATTGGTACCACATTCATTGGTATCGATGAACGTTTAGGTTGTTTGTGATTCTGACACCGTATTATTTAATAGATTAACAAACCTTTCGCCGTTCAAAGCCCCATCAATGAATACGGGTCTGATGATGTTGTCACCATGAATAGCTGCCCAAACATTTACCGAAAATCTGTACTGATGGGTTGACTCCCGCCAAACGCGCGGATTTTGGTTTTCGGGTGCCCAGTGGTGCAGATTGTGCTGGTTCCACATGCCGTTTCTGGTGAACGTGCTTTCATCAGTCCAACAAATTGGGAAAGAAAGTCACTGTCCTCTTCAGTTTTTCTCAGTAACCACTGACAATAATTAACTCTTATTATTTTATCACGCGATAGCAGAGTATGTACTTTTCTAAAACTTGAATGGGTGCCACTTTTGCGCGCTTTAATATCCTATGGACGGTTCTATGATGGACTTGAAAATGCCTAGCACTCTGGCGAAGGCTAGTTTTGGGTTGGTCTTCGAAGTGTTTTATCACATTTTCAGTTAAATGGATTGGGTATTATCGTGTAGGCGGTCAATTAGGGCGTTGATACCTAGGATCCACTGGTCGGTTTTCGTGGATGCGCTGAAGAGCTCCTACAATAGTGCGAGAATGAGTAGGGCATTGTCTTGTATCGCCATATCTCTCGCGATATGTTCTAATCGCAAGGGCGGCATTTTGATGACATTCTCCGTAAATTAGGGTCATATCCGCATATTCAGCTGCTGTGTAGTTCAGATGTGTATTTGCCATCACGATCACAGGTTTACACAAGCACTAATACCACAAATAAAAGCGTCCGTATCGCAAGAGATGTAAATGTACCAACTAGATTGGAAAAAAAAACAAAGCGTTTTTATCGCAATACCATAACATAATTACACAAAAATTAATAAATAAAACAATAGGTAAGCGTCTTTTTCGCGGAATTATTCACCAAAATATTAGTCGACCTAATTATGCGCACTGCTATGAACAAGTGTGTTAAGGACACGGGTTCAGCTAGTACTATATAAAATAATTCGTGCGGCGGGGTGCGGGGGAGGAGCAGGTGTCTCCTGCGCCGACCGCTCGACGACAATTCTTCTTTCTTGGTTATGATCCGTGACCCCGGCAAATGACCGCTGCGCGACAGTTCTTTAAGTACAGGTTGCTCTAACATGCTATTTTCTAAAATTTTAAATAAATCCGTAAATAATAACATTTAATGGAAATATAATTTCGTCATGAAATGAAGGTGTGAAAACGTAAATGTGTGTTAAATTAAAGTCACCATTGTAGACCTTCGTTGTATATTTAGATATTTTACGTTTTCGTTTCGAGTAGATATTAGAAATTCTGCAATTCAGACACCGCTAGCTGTATTGCCGCGGCAGCGATATCGTAATATCTAAGAAATAGTTGGTTTGTCGTCCGATATATAGATGTTGAATATTGTACTGATATATAGATATTGTATCTATATACGATTTGTATCGCCCACTCCAACTTGTCAGTGAAATTAGTCAAGTGCAAAATCAAGTGATAGTGCAAGATCCCTCCCGCCGCCTGAGCGATATGTTAAAAAATGGATCCTATTACGTGCCTCTATATAAATTTATCAAAAATACGGTGGGGAAATTATAATAAACCGAATAAAGTTACTCAAGACTTGGCCTAAAGTTCTAGATACCAGGCCAACAACTAAAAAAAAATTTTTGACAATGAAAGTGACACTGACATTCACTGACAGTCTGACATTCAAATTTCAAAGTCTTGGCTGTTGACCTGACATTAGAAATCAGAATTTAGTAGAAATAAAACGCCGATCTATCATTTATTTATTTGAATTGTTAAACGTTTATCTATAAATAACTTGAAACACTAATCACTTTATAAACACATATAGATTCTATAAATAAAATTTGAACAAAAAGTCGTGTCATTATTTAAAATTTGTACGACGGTAACGACGTTTATATTAAAAAATGCGATATTTATTTGTCACAACGATATTTAGCGTAGTTTTTGCCTATGAAAAGGATATGACATTCACCGTTCCAGCTGGTAATACGGAGTGCTTTTATCAAAAAGTGCTACCAAATGAGATTATCGACATAGAGTACCAGGTATGTATGTGTATTTCACCACCTACTTAGTGTTATTACATTGGAACGATTAATATAAATCTACCATAAAAATTTGTACTTATACCTTATACATACTAAGAGAAGACCTGACTGAGCCGTGGTCACTCAGGTGATAAGCACTCATTTTAAAATTTATTATAATCTGCAAGTGCACCTATATATATATATATATATATATATATATATATATATATATATATATATATATATATATATATATATATGACCACGGCTCAGTCAGGTATATATATATATATATATAAGGAACTCCCCTTGTTGCCTCACCCTCACTTGAAAGAGAAAGGGCCTCTAAAAAGCTTGGCATGCTCAGTAGAATGGGACAGTATTTCATGCCGGCTCACCGTCTGCAACTTTACATGGAGCAGGTTCGGCCATACATGAAATACTGTTGACATCTTTGGGCCAGGACTCCCCAGTACCATCTCTTTCCATTTGATCTCATCCAGTGCAGAGTAGTTCGAATCGTCGGCGACCGAGCTCTTTCCGATCGGCTTGACTCACTGGCACTGTGAAGAGATGTTGCATCTCTTTGCGTATTTATCGCATCTACCATGGGGAGTGCTCTGAGAAATTGTTTGGACTAATTCCATCCGCACATTTACACCATTGCTCATTGCGACAACACTCGCGATACCATCCATACCATCTGGATGACTGACGGTCCACCACTAATCGATTTAAAAGAAGTTTTCTTCCTCGCACAACTTCCTTGTAGAATCAACTACCACTAGACATTTTTCGGGGCCGATATGACTTAGAGACCTTTAAGAAAAGAGCCTATTCCTTTTTAAAGGGCTGGCAATGCAACTGCAATCCCCCTGGTGTTGCAGCTGTTTATGGGCGACAGTAATCACTTACCATCAGGTGAGCCCTATGCTTGTTTGCCCCCTCTCCTATAAAAAAAATCTGCCTTATTTTAAAAAGAAACCATCATGCCATTTGTCCTGCACCTGATCTCTCTCCGGTTGTGTCAGATCACCATCCCAGTTGGAATATGAGAATGAGGGAATAGAGAATGTGTCTGCTCTTGCACATACACTCAGGCTACCCTATACTCTATATGTTTCTGGCCCGTGCATATGACTAGTCTCCATTGAGACTTATGACTTACCACTTCAATTTTGGTTACGGAATATGGTCTGAAGGCCATTATTATTATCCTAGGTGTATTTGATTTATTTATGTTTAAAAATAAATGTGGTTGCTTTCAGCTTAAACTAGGCTTAGTAATTTCCAAATAATATTTAATAGAGTTTTAACTTCTGTTTTGTTTGTCAAAATTTTAAAACATTTATCAAGTAATATCAGCCCATCACCTTCTAAATATAAAGTTACGAAATTCCAACAAAATAATGTAATTTCAATCTAATATATAAAAAGTAATATTTGTTCATATTTTATGAGGTGCATCATTATTGATCAGATTTGAGTAAAATTTTGTCAACTTGTTGCTTGCACTTATGCAAATGTTATAGGTATTGTTGGACCCGGTAGGTGCAGAGAGTCCAGATACCATCTGTATGAAGCTGGGGCAGATTGCTAGTATAAAATTTTGTCAACGTGTTGCTTGCACTTATGCAAATGTTGTAGGTATTGTTGGACCCGGTAGGTGCAGAGAGTCCAGATACCATCTGTATGAAGCTGGAGCAGATTGCTAGTATAAAATCAGTAGAACAGTAGAATCCCGATTATCCCTGTCCTGTCTTTCCAACCACTTAAAAGCAACATTCAAAAAGCTTCAAAAGTATGTGCTTTGCTACTTGACAAATATCCTCAGATTCAGTCTCTTCTTCATTTTCTCTCTCTTTACTATTCAAATCGTCAATAAGTTCTTCATCAATTAATATTAGGAATCCAGGGTCTCCACTATCGCAGTTCAGCCACGCTTTGATGTTCTTTTCATCATACCCTTCACCAATGCTAAGAATTTTCATTGCTTCTGTTATTTCTTTGAAATCATCGTGCGTTATAATCGAAGAATTAGATGGAGTTAATTTCAATTACTTATTACAT